TGCCAAGGTTGGACATCCTTGCCTTAAATATAGAAAGTGTAAAACAAAAACAAAAAACGCCCACCTGGAGATTTCATCCCATCATTGGTGTTCCATTGATCCTCGAGGTAACACTCTGGCCTTCAATGATTTAAAGCAGGGATCCCCAACCCCCAAGTATAGGGTCCCCAGGTATAGGGCCATGGCCCATTCGGAACCGGGCTGTGCAAGCAGTGGGGGAGCAGGCACATTATGTGAGCAGTGGGCACGCATGTAAATGGGGTTGCACAGCCTCATAGGCACACCTGCTGCTCACACAGAACCATCACCTTTCCACCTCCCCCACCAGTCCACCACTGATTTAAAAGTATCAAGGAAACTTCCTCCCTGGATAAGTGATTTGTCCTAGATTGGCCTGACCAAACCGCTTTCCTCTTCTCCAGGGGACACACCTCACAAACCTCCCTTTTGTAAAAAGAAGTCGGCATCACCGATACATTTCTGCAATTTGAGTAAGCCTTTTTTTTTCAAGCAGAGCCTTCAGTTGCAAAGAACAGTACAGACTTTGACAAGTCTTTTAAAATGAAGTTGTTTTATTGATAGAAGCAAAATGGAAAAAAACAAAACCCTATCCATAAATGGCAGACAATTTAAAAATAGGTAGTCATAATGTCTACTTTCACTTCTCTGGTATTTGCATAAGATTGCATCCAAGGGCTAAGATTACTTCAATGAAAGATGTGAAATTTTGTAAACTTTCCTTATAAATTAACACAGGACATCCTGTATGAGCTGCAGCAGAGCAAAAGCAGAAAGTAGATCTGTTTAGAAAATGTAGACAATCTCAATTTTATAATATATTGACTATAGAAGTCTATATCCAATAGGGAATTAAAATGTGTTATTTGTGTTAATTTGCATACATTATTCAAATTTTGATAACTCTGGGGAAGACTAAAGAATCGTACCTGCAGTCACTGGACCTGCAGTCACATTCTGAGATTTCAGCAGATATCATCCATATAATCATATATACATGATTGTGTGTGTGTGTGTGTGTGTGTGTGTGTGTGTGTGTTTTCTTAAGTTTTCGCAGGTACTTACATGTATGTTATTCAGCTTTGTTCGGGTATTTTCCCACGTCATTATAGTTGTGCTTTTAAAGTTGTAGCGACGTTTCGGCAGAATCTCATCTGCCATCATCAGGCTTCTGTATTATATATATATATAATGATGCTCAGCTCTAAGAACTAGAAACATTTTTCCCTATTTCCAACTCAGGTAATGCACTCAGGTAGCTGAATCTCCTATCTGATACAGGTATCTTGCTTTGGTTTGGCACATGTTGCAGTTCCTATAACAGTCCTCAGCGGCTCAGAGGAACTTTTTCTTGTTTCGGCAGCGGCTGAATGTAGATCAGGCACCATGGAGGAGATTATCCAAATTCTGCCTCTGCTGCTGTGTAGACTTGGGAATGAGAACTAGGATTCCTTCTCATTCTGGCTTCTGCTGTAGCTCAAAAGGGATCCCCTGCAAATTCTGCCTCTTCATCCCAAAGGAATCCTGATCTGTCCTCTCTTAAAGTGGTCGTTTTCGGCAAAAGTAAAAGACTCCACCAATGATAATTAAGCCCAATACTAACATTGTTATCACCGGGGCTATAACCCAGTTGCGAGACTTCCCTGCAATAGAACAGAAGAGATGGCTTGGAACTTGTTATAAAAGAGCTTGCGAACTTGCTGCACATATGTAATTGCGCTTTGCTATTTTGTTGATATTTCTCTAACCAATTCAACCAAAACCCCATTTAATTATTTGACTGAGGAAACCGCAGAGTTGATGAGATTGCTATCTCCAACTTCTGTGGTAATATTTCTCCTGCTCCTCTTCAGAATTTCTCTCTCTCTCTCTCTCTCTCTCTCTCTCTCTCTCTCTCACACACACACACACACACACACACACACACACGAACACAAACACACACATGCACACACAAAATTGTCTCCCCCTTCTATAAATTTGTAAGTCAAATGTTTAGTTGAAAATATTAAACATGGATATAAATAAATAAAAGAAGGAAAAATGTGCAAATCTGAAAATAAAACATTCATCTTACCTTCAAAGACAATGTCAATCTGTGCTGAATTCTTGCCATAAACATTATGTATTAGGCAACGATAAGTCCCATTGTGGAATTCCTTTGCTGACTTAATTGTTACAGTCTTGTTGCTATTTGAGAATTCCACATTAACTTTGGAGGGAAGTTCCCAGGAATATTCTGGATTGGGTTTTCCTTTAGCATTACATGTCACCATAATTTTTGCATCCACTTTATAAATCCCATGAGTGGCCAATATGCTGACATTATAAGGGCTAGCTGAAAAAAGGAATAAACAAGGTGAGTCCTGCCTACCATTTCATGTAGAGCATTGATTGACAGCCCAGAAATGCAAAAAAGCAAAACCGGTCCATTTCTCTGTCCATTCTTCAGGCACCATTTTCCTATCAGGTATTTTGTGTTATTTTCTGTCAATAAGGATTTGTCATTAAAAATGTGTAGAATGAACACTAGACTGTTTAGTAAATGGTATATACTATAGATGCAAAGAATAGCTGAGAACACTAAACATTTATTTACATTCACTGTGGAATTTCCCATATGCTCACAGTATGCTTCTCTCACAGCATGTCATGAACTGATCATATAATTGCTTTGTTCCATGATCAGTTCATGAAGCACGTTAGGACAGACAGAAACATGAGCTGCTGGAGGAGGCATTTTTATAATGAAAGAAGTAGAGGAAAATGAACACTAGCCAGACTTCAATACTAATAGCATTTCTTCTGCTAAGGATCTTTGGATAGTGAGAATCCCAAGTTCATAAAAAAATAACTGGAAGATGTTACACTCAAAAAACAACTCTAGTATTAGATGACAGGCCAGAAGATCTATGCAGTGTAGCACTACTCTTACCCAGTCATTAGGGAAAGTGATGTGTACTAGAACGTATCCAAAGCAAAACATTTGGGTGTGTTCCTAAGAGCATTGGACAAAAGAACCCCTAGCTTTGACATAAAGTGCAAGCATGGAGCAACTATAAAGCTGGCTTCATGTACTCTGTGCCAAATTATACTAATCAAGTGGAAGAGAAGATTGCCATTCTATGTATACTTAAACAGTTTCTACAGAAACCTATAGTGCTTCTGAAATCTTCACACTCACTTATCTGATCAGCAATGAGACAAAAATTATTTTCCTGCCACAAGGAAATAGTCTTCACCATTTTTTTGTGAGAAAGAAGGGCAAGAAAGGTGGGTTTGATGTGATTGCTTAAATGCTGCTCTCACTATCAAGGACAAGTCCTAGATTTTCAAAAGCTAGTTAACAAAAAATAGTTAACCTGTCATGAAAAATAAATGCAACTTACCCACAACTTTCAGTGTTTGATTTACATTTTTTCTCAGCACTTGTGAACCCAACAGGAGGATGGCCTCACAGAGGATCTCAGCCCCGTCATCCTGCTCTACATTAGGCACAAAATAGTACTCCACTGATGGTTTTCCATGGCTGCTGTTCAGGATATTACCATCTCTGCTCAGAGAAATGTTGCTGTGAGTTGGGAGGGAGCCCTTCACCTTCAGGCTAGAAATGTTGCACACGATTTTTTCCAAGTGACCACTCAGAACTTCAGAAACTGGATATATAACTGGCGTAGAGAATTCTAGATTTGGAATGACAAAAGTTAACTATGACCAGTAGTTGGAAAGATAAGTTAGCGCTTCAAAGAGCTAGGCAATCTTGGCCTCCTGGAGACAGTAATACTATCAAGAATTATATGTGGTTGTTAGTATTAACATGTCGTTTCCAGACATTGTAAAAGCCTAGTACTGATGATGTTACCTAGTTAGGTAATGAAGCGTCTGCAAAAAACAAGCAAGCTCAGAGAGCACCAAGGACCCTTCATTGTAAAAGCCTCCCTAGATTGTCTAATGGAAGAGTTATGGATGAACCCATGATGTGCAAAATCTAAAGTGGAGAAACTTATTCAGCCTCCTAAATTAGCACCAAGCATGATCCTTGGGATTTATCTCATCAAGTCATTGCAATAACCAGTGGACCATGCTGCCAGATCACACCTGTTTTTCCTTGCACTCATCATTGCTCAAAGGACCATATCCTATTCTTCTATAACCCAGGAGGTGGCCACCCAGATCCCTGAAATGTCCTTTTGTATCCCTTCGTTACTGTGTGCTATAAAAGGGATGGCATGTTGGTTTGGTACCAACATTTAAGGGCAAAATATTTTTTTTTAAGTATGGCATTTTTTAATTTTAATTTTCAAATTTAATAAATGGGCATGAAAGAGAAGAGAGATACTATAGTACCGTATTTAATAGGGATTTCTCCTCCTAACTAATCTCATATTTTCTTGGACCCAGCTCGCTTTCTTCTCTGCGGTCCCTTGGCATGTTGTTATTTAGGGCCAACATGTGTCGACTCATAGAAATAAGGTTAGCCACTTCTCTCATAAGCCACCTCA